GCCATAGACCAAAACCGCACCATTAAAACCCAACTTTTGGTTCGAATTTTTGGAAAACACATTATTAAATCACGGTTTTTTAAAGAAACCGCACCAATAAATTGGATATTCCGTCTAAATTTATATTCCATTTTTTTATTCCCATCGATTCTGCCAGCTTATATCTCTCACTCCCAAAAAACAACCCTTCACAATTCACTTGTCCCATAAAAATCTTTCACAAGTAAAAGCTTCAATCCCCATCATCGTCGCATCATCATTGTCAACTTCGTTGCAAGCATCTCGTCGCATCATATTCTCTAAGACTCTATGCAGGAGGTAAAATCTTCAATCCTCCTAACTTAGTTCATCGGTTTCTCCACTTTCCTAATCTTCTATGAATATAAACTAAATCTGAGTGTTTGTTGCAGGTACATTTATTTACTCGTCCTGAAACCCTAATTGATGAATTTTGTGGACTTAATTATATAAATATTTACATTTAAAATCATTATTTAGTTCCTCCTACAACTCTTAGTGTAGGAGATCCGTTGGGCTTGTAAACACTTTGAAGGTTGGTGATTGTAGTTTAAATATAAACACCGATATATATAATCTATAATATATGTTGAATATATGTATGCGTTTTGGTTACATCATAAACTACAAAACCTATCATGAGAGCACGAAGATGTTCTTGAGAATTTGTCCCGACCTGATAGTCACGAAGAGAGTTGAGGTTCCCAAGGAATTCATGCAAATGATAATTAGTAAAAATATTGACTTGTTTATACATATGTTGTAAGATCCACTTTCATTAAATGATGTCTATAATTGATGTTTGAGGTTCTTGTATCATTGTGTTATTCTAGATTTGCTTTGCTTTGCTTGTGGTTAATTCAAAAGTTGTTCGATTTAAATCATCAAAAGTTATATATATGTAGAAGAACTTTAAAGGGAAGGGATATCCACATATTAATCATTTTGTGTTTTTTCAAGAAATGTTTGTTGGTATGTTTTTGTTTATTTTTTTTTTGTTCGGATTTATGTTCTTTCAGAAAAGGTTTGTTAGTGCGGTTTTGTCTATTTTTTGGTGTGATTTT